TAAAGAGTACACTCCCTCCTGTTTAACTTTGTTTCCACCAACGCTCAGGGCCAGCGTGAGCATCGCACAGCCCTCTGGGAAATGCAGATGGCGCTGTCCTAAGGGCTATGGGAAGTGTAGTCATTGATTAAAAGCCACTACCTCGAGCACCTACAGTAAGGATACGGGATTGAATCCTCCCTGCTTCTCCCTTATTTTCCACTCAAACACAATGTTTACCTCCTCAATACTTACAGAATCTCTCCCTCTCTCTTCGTGCCAACCCTCAGTGCTGTATTTCAGACACTCCCTTAAATCTGTTCTCCTCACGGCCACCAAAGTAATTGTCCCTGCTGTCTTAGGGATCTTACACAGCTAATAGAACCAAGCCCACATTAACCGGCTGGCACGTATATTTGACCTCTCACCTACTGTCTCACACTAGCCTCCTCATATGTAAGAACCGTTCTCTTTAGATTGTTCATCTCATTTGTGATTGATATCTTAAAGCCATTGCCACCATTTTTTTTTTTTTCCGGTACGCGGGCCTCTCACTGTTGTGGCCTCTCCCGTTGCGGAGCAACAGGCTCCGGACGCGCAGGCTCAGCGGCCATGGCTCACGGGCCCAGCTGCTCCACGGCATGTGAGATCCTCCTGGACCGGGGCACGAACCAGTGTCCCCTGCATCGGCAGGCGGACTCTCAACCACTGCGCCACCAGGGAAGCCCATTGCCACCACCTTTTAAAAATGCAGAGCACAACTTCTTGCTTTTAACAGTTGCCCCCCCCAAAAGGGTGATACATTCCAAGTGTAGCTGGATTTGCAAAATATTCTTGAAAAGTACTTGAAATAGGTTTCTATCAGTAGAAACCAAGTTCCTCATACTTTGATAAAATTAGGATTTTATTTCTCTGAACAAAATATTTCATTACATGATCTGGTTAATTCACACCTAGGTGTTTTCCAGGTCTTGTAAAGTCACACAAAAGATTAAAACAATAAACAAAAACACGATGGTTCTTGTATGAATTACTTATCACAAAACTCCGGTAGGATTATAAACAGTCTCAACAGATTTTTTTTGTTTTTACACAACACTTTGGAAGTCTAAGATCTATAATTACACTTGATCCAAAGAGCTGTAAGTGTGGAGTGAATCTGCCTGAGGCTTTACAGAAAGGAGGCATACTTTTAAAGGCTATCAGAAAGCCTAGATAGGAGTGAACTGTACGGTGTAAGAAGACAGATGAGGTGTTGCTCACATCAAAGCACCAAGAAACTTTCCTTTTGAAGTGGGAATACTTGGCAGACACAACATTTCCATTAGCTTTTAACTTCGGTAGGAAGAATGGCCCAGATCATAAACATAGAGAATTATTTAACTGATAAAGCAGTTTAGAAGTCACAGTCAAATCCGTAATCTCTTCTTAACATTCAAAAGCAGAGTTTCCATCTTCCTCATTTCTTTCTTTGGTTTTGGTTTTTAAAATGTAGAATCCTTCATTTCTTGCCTGAGGAAAGAGTATGTTTGTTGAGAAAGCATCAGCCAAGGCCAGGATATTCATGTGGTTCTCAGGAATCAGGTGGGGAAGGCTGAAGTCAAGATCTAGAAGGGCCACAGTTCAGAATGATTTTCTTAGGTGGTACCAATGCAGTTACCTTTTCAATGGGTATCAGGAGCTCTTTTATTAACTCTTATAGGTTCTCAGTTACCAGCAAAGCTCCATCTGTTGTTATAGCAACTTAGCCTACACTTTAGACATAAGGGTCTTCTGGCGTTCCAGCAAATGTATAATGATCTCCAGGAGCTTTCCTGAACAATTTTGAGATATGGACATTCAGGTTACAATATAAGTTGTAATTTTCTTTACAACAGAGCTTCAGAATACTACTTGGTCATTTGATTGGTTTCAAGAAATACGATGGGGCTTCCCTGGTGGCGCAGTGGTTGAGAGTCTACCTGCCGATGCAGGGGACGCAGGTTCGTGCCCCGGTCCGGGAAGATCCCACGCGCCGCGGAGCAGCTGGGCCCGTGAGCCATGGCCGCTAAGCCTGCGCGTCCGGAGCCTGTGCTCCGCAGCGGGAGAGGCTGCAGCGGTGAGAGCCCCGC